GAGAGAGAGAGAGTAATATATGTGTAGTAATACAAGCAGATGCGCACATGCTGATAATACATCACACGGCCCGCGCGCGAAATTTCTTTTCCTGACCCTTTCAGGTTTTCAGCAAGCACAGTGTACGTAGCCAGTGTCGAGAACCAGAGTTTACACAGAGTTGCTGTGCATTGATTGTTTAATTCGCATTGTTCGCTTGATTGTTCGCTTGGACGCATTGTTTTTTTTTTCAACTCGCAGTTCGCATAGCATAATTTATACATGGTACATATGTATGGTGCATGTATACATTGTGTTAGATGTACATGCACGGTACACGTATACATTGTGTTAGATGTACATGCACGGTACACGTATACATTGTGTTAGATGTACATGTATGGTACATGTATACATTGTGTTAGATGTACATGCACGGTACATGTATACATTGTGTTAGATGTACATGTATGGTGCATGTATACATTGTGTTAGATGTACATGCACGGTACATGTATACATTGTGTTAGATGTACATGTATGGTACACGTATACATTGTGTTAGATGTACATGTATGGTACACGTATACATTGTGTTAGATGTACATGTATGGTACATGTATATATTATGTTAGATGTACATGTATGGTACATGTATACATGTTAGATGTTAAGGCATGTTGTATTGTTTTGTGTTTACATTTTGAATGTTCCAAGTACCAATTTTGCCCTATTAATTATAGGCATGGCATACAATGAGAGGGGCGTTATCAAAATTTAAAGATTTCTTTCAATTCAGGGAATTTTCACAGTCAAATTCAAGGATTTAACGATTGACCTAAAGGAGGTCATTTGTACCCTACACCTATGCCTATAACCATGACAAAATAGCGATAGGGACCTCTCAAAGTTCATCAGGTTTTATACTGAGTGCTGTCGCGTAGTGTTCTCCTCCCCCACGACCCCTAACCCACGACCCCAGCCCCATGAATCCGCTCCGGATAATCTCTAGACTAGCAGACGCCGTCCGCCACCAACACGTGGTCGGGTCGCCATGCCCTACCGCTCGCAGCCTCCGCATCAAAGGAGCCGCCGCACGATGAGATTCGATATTGAGATGAAGCCCCGTGCAGAGGGAGGCCAGCCTCTCCCTCAGGCATCCACCCAGCATCCCGTCACCTTCTATACACGCCAGCACTGATCGCATCACGACAGCCGGCTGCTGGAGGAGGAGGAGGAGAAGGAGGAGGAGGAGGAGGAAGAGGAGGAGGAGGAGGGAGGCTGCACGATGGTGGCCAGCCTCTCCCTCAGGCATCCACCCAGCATCCCGTCACCTCCTATAGACACCAGCAGCAGCTAAAGCACGACATCCCCGTGTAACTGCTCCGTCCGACCTGCTGCTGCTGCTGCTGCTGCTACTACTGCTGCTGCTGCTACTACTGCTGCTGCTGCTGCTGCTACTGCTGCTACTACTGCTGCTACTGCTACTACTGCTACTGCTGCTGCTACTGCTGCTGCTGCTACTGCTGCTGCTGCTACTACTGCTACTGCTGCTGCTGATACTGCTGCTGCTGCTGCTGTTGACGAAAAAAGCGCGTTGCCATGACGATCGAGCGTGAGTGTCACCGCCTCCAGACGCGCGCCTGTCTCACCTGGGACGTTCCGCCCGCGAACCCCCCCCCCGCCCTCACATTGATAACTGCGGCAGAGCAGACGATCGTAACTGCGTGGTTGCTACCGGCAACCGACCCGCATCCTCACTGAAGCTCTGCTCAGTGAAGCCATGTCCGGCCCGGATGCTGAGGATGGGTCCGCATCTTCACTGCACACACACACGCACAAACGCACGCACACATTAACACACACGCGCGCGCGCATACACACGCACATATATACACACACACACGCGCGCGCGCATACACGCACACACGCACGCACGCACGCACGCACGCACGCACGCACGCACGCACGCACGCACGCACGCACGCACGCACGCACGCACGCACACACACACACACACACACACACACACACACACACGGTAGGGAGGCGTATCATCAGACTCCCGCCATCTGCTTGCTGCTCCCGCCGGATCACGCGTGCTGTGAATGGCTTCCACGCTCCAGCAGCCTCGGCCGCAGCAGCAGCAGCAGCAGCAGCAGCCGCCCGCGGGGACACCCCGCAGCAGATAAGCAATTGCGCCGCTCAGAGCGGCAATATAACGCTCCACTAATATTCATAACTAGATTTGTCAGCCGGTAATTGTCACCGGTGGCGGCGGCGGCAGCGGCGGCGGCAGCAGTAGTAGTAGTAGCAGTAGTAGCAGCAGCAGCAGCAGCAGTAGTAGTAGTAGTAGTAGTAGCAGCAGTAGTAGTAGTAGTAGTAGTAGTAGTGGTAGTAGTAGTAGTAGTAGTAGCAGTAGCAGTAGTAGTAGTAGTAGCAGCAGCAGTAGCAGTAGCAGCAGCAGCAGCAGTAGCAGTAGTAGCAGCGACAGCAACAGTAGTAGCAGCAACAGTATAGTAACAGCAGTAGCAGCAGCAGCAACAGCAGTAGTAGTAGCAGCAGCAGCAGCAGAAAGAAAGAGGGCGCGGAAGAAGGAGAGCGAGAGAGGGGCAAAGAGACAATGACAGAGACAGAGATAGAGGGACGGAGAGAAAAGGGAGAGAGAACAAGAAAGAGAGAGAGACCGGTCACCGAGAGACCGAGAGAAACCGAAAGAGAAACATAGAGAGAGAGCGAGAGAGAGAGAGACCGGTCACCGAGAGACCGAGAGAGAGACCGAGAGAAACCGAAAGAGAAACATGGAGAGAGAGAGCGCGAGAGAGAGAGAGACCCGTCACCAAGAGACCGAGAGAGATCGAGAGAAACCGAAAGAGAAACATGAGAAAGAGAGAGAGAGAGAAAGAGAGACGACCCGTCACCAAGAGACCGAGAGAGATCGAGAGAAACCGAAAGAGAAACTGAGAAAGAGAGAGAGAGAGAAAGAGAGAGAGAGAGAGAGAGAGAGAGAGAGAGA